GGGCGACGTCACCCTCTTTTTGAAGTTTCCCCTGAATCCGAGCCAGCGGCGCCATCTACCTAGCACACCCACCTCTGGGAGTCGCCTTTTTTCTTCCCAGATTGGAATTGGAGGGGATGACCCCCGGCGCGCACTCGATGCTTGAGGATGGAAACAGGGGTGCTTTCTTCCCGTGTTCCGTTTGCCTTTTGGTTAGCTTGGTTACACTGACTTGAACCTTTGGCGCTAGGGGCGCGAACATGTGCAAATGTCCGGCGGGGGGGGTGTGCTCATCCTGAACCAAGTTTGGAACCGCTTATGCCAATGCCGCCGTTACTGGCGATGCGTCCATGTGACAACGCTCTTGAATGTGTTGACGTTGCGCCCATGTCCTGTTCAAGCCTTCAAGTCCTTTAAGCCAGCTTGTTTCTCTCGAAACCTAAAGTCAAACGCGCGTTGGCCTCCACGAGCGCGTTTTTCTCTCGACAAGCGCACCTTTTTTTTGCTCTCAGGTCATGGTGTTTGGCGTCCGACTGGGTGAAGGCGCCGCCTGGGCACCAGACAACTGTCCAAGTTCGGCCCACAAAGCTTGAGCAGCTTAGCCAGAGGCATGTGGACGCAGCGGTAGTGGATGGACTCCCATCTGGCTTTGGCGTGTTGTGTCAAATTGCTTGCTCGAAGCTGGGAAGTTGCGTTGCGTAACCTTGCATCTAAAAGTGAGGCTTTGAGCTCCAACAGCCATACTTGAACTTTGAGGCTTTGCGGCCACAACCCAGCCCCAGCCAGCCACTGAGCTGTCGCTTTAGTGTTAAGTAACCCCAATTTCTGACAACCTTGACACTCCCGAAGTAAACCCCTTGTACTCAGAGGTCCAAACATCAGACTGCCAGGTCCCAAACCCGTACTTCGAAGTCCAAGTTCATCTCACTCAACTGTCCTGGCCAGCGGCCCTGCAGCGCAGAGTGCAGCTCCCGGCTCAATCGGACTGGGGCGAGTGATGTGTTACTGAAGGTTCTACCAGTGTGACACCCCCCGCTCTTGGAGCCGTTTTGAATGGCAAAGGGGCCGACGCAAAACTTGCCACGCGCCAGAAACTCTGAGCGTGCCAACTGAGCGACAGCGTGTTGCTGTTTCCTAGGTCGCGGCAGCACCGAGAAAGGTTCGCAGAAGGGGGTTATCATTGATGTGGAAGGGCTACGAAGATAAGAAATTGTAGCTTTCCTGCACGCGCGGAAGCGAAAAAGAACATCCAACCCATTTCTCAATCCGTGAAAGCGACGCGGAAGCGATTCCCTCTTCAAAAACTCTCGCGACAGGAACCTTTCAATGCCGCGAAACCTCCGCGGAAGCCTTTGCGGAAGGGGTTTGATGTTTCTCTTCGGCCACCACGAGGTTTAGAACACTGCTCAAATGTGCAAAGCCGATGCTCTCCGATTGCCGCGTTTCAATGGAGGCAACATATGCTCACATAACTTAAACATGGCCAGAGGCGCCGCTTCATGTGTCCCTACTAGCACCACCGTATGTTTGCTGCACCGGTCACCTCCACACCTCACAGATGCAGAGCAGAAGACTGGGAAGCGTGGATAGAAGGAACATTTTTTTGCAACATGTTTTTGTGACCATTGATTGCTAGGAGACATGGTCAAACACTCTGGATTGCCTATTTTGCTCAGTCACGCTCGTTCGATACGAACTGCGTATCAAGCTGTGGCCATGCATATGCATCTTCAGCCCTGACGAAAGGTTCGCAGAAGGGGTGTATCAGTAATTTCTCGCGAAAGCTTCGCGCAAGGCTACGAACCTACGAAGACAAGAAATTGTAGCTTTCCTGCACGCGCAGAAGCGAAAGCGACGCGGAAGCCATTCCCTCTTCAAAACCTCTCGCGAAAGGAACGCTTCACGCCGCGAAAGCTCCGCGGAAGCCTTTGCGCAAGGGGTTTGATGTTTCTCTTCGGCCGCCACTGGGTTTAGAACACTGCTCAAATGTGCAGAGCCGATGGCCACGTTTCAATGGCGGCAACAAATGCTCATGCCAGAGGAACCGCTTCATGTGTCCCTAGCACCGCTGTATGTCTTCTGCACCGGTCACCTCCACACCTTAAAGATGCAAAGCCTTTTGTTGCAACATGTTTTTGTGACCATTGGTTGCTAGGAGACACGGTAAAGCAGTCTGGATTGCCTATCTTTCTCAGGCTCGTTTGAAACGAGCCACATTGAAGCATGTGCGGTTCCAGAGTCTGACAGGGCTGGCTTCCAGCCGAGCTGTTCTGGATATAAAGCGGTAGCCACTACGCAGCGTTGCTTTGCCAAGACTTGTAAGAGATGGCCCAGAGTCGCGCGGCTTGGCATCAAGTGGCCAAGCTGCGCTCGAAAGTGGCAGCAATGGCCACGTTGATGAAGGCTGCTTCGGTCTATTCAGTCTAAGAGATTCCAAGATAAACCACCAACAGCAACTTACGCTGGCGTCGAGCGGATCGCTTGGAGTGTCACGAACACTGCAGAAGGGCTAGCGGTAAGACACGCGCCGAGTCATCCAAAGCATTCGCTGTGATTGGGAGCATCTTCGGGAGCGCCGGCGATAGTATGGGGCTTTCTGACAGGGTTTTGTACTCTCTCGAGCAGCGCAGATGCCGCCAAGACTGTTCAAAGTGTGTCCACTTCACCCCCGGCCACCCCCACACACGCATAAACAGTTGGGCCTTCGCACAAGCACACACACACAAGAAGCAAGTGTGGGTCTGGATTTCACTTCAGGCTTTCACAGCCGCAGCAGCTGCGCCATTTTTGCACCGATTTTCGAGCAGGCAAGCGAGAACTATTCGTTGGGTCCATGAAGAGGTAGCATTCTCACAGGTGCGATCTGCCTAAACTTGGCAGGCGTCCGATCTGCATATTCTCCAAAAGCGTTGGGAATGCGCAGCTGCAGCGGCGTCGCCTGGCATTGATGTGACCGTTAAGGGTGCAGTTTCTGGAGGTTTCGCTCTAAGAAACCTTTGCCGTCAGTCATGGAGACTGGTGGCAAGGGCTTCAGAGCCGATGGCTGTGGCTGCACCGCCTGAGCATGTTTGAGCCACATCGCTTGAAAGACCTCGCCGTGTGTGACTTCATTCCCACCTGACCGTGTCGTGGGCAGAATATGGTTTTACCCCTTCAAAGTTGCCTGATGTTTCTGGCTGAACTCAGCTCAGCGTCTCTTTTGAAGGCCATTCAGGCCAGGTCTCATGGTGGTTGGCAGAGTCATCAGCCAGCCTGGCTGACAAGACGGACTCGCTCTGCAGCACCCTGCCCCTCATGGAGCCATTTCAACCAGGCCAGCTGTCACACTTCCAATCAAGCTACAAGGACAAAAACGCTGTAGAGCTGTAGCACTTGAGTGCCAGCGCATGAACCCTACACTGGTCATAAATCAAAGAAGCAGCCGTATACATGTTCCTCCGACGTCTCGCATTCCTGAGCTCTGCAATCAGCGTTCCCGTTGCCTCGCCTTAGGCCTTGGCTTCCTGGCAGAAGCATCCGTTCAACAGCTGCCTTGTGTAGACACTTTGACCTCGTGTTTGCACAAAAGGCAAAGGGCAGCGTGCGGTTCAGCGCAATCGGTAACAGAACCTTGGCCACATCGTTGAAAGACCTTGCAGTGTGCGACTTCATTCCCACCTGACTGTCGTGCGCAGAATATGGTTTTACCCCTTCAAAGTTGCCTGATGTTTCTGGCTGAACTCAGTTCAGCGTCTCTTTTGAAGGCCATTCAGGCCAGGTCTCATGGTGGCTGGCAGAGTCATCAGCCAGCCTGCCTGACAAGCCGGCTGACTCGCTCTGCAGCACCCTACCGCTTATGGAGCCATTTCAACAAGGCCAGCTGTCACACTTCCAATCAAGCTGCATGGACAAAAACGACGTAGTGCTGTAGCACTTGACTGCCGCCGCATGAGCCCTACACTGGTCACAAATCAAAGAAGCAGCCCTGTACATGTTCCTCCGACGTCTCGCATTCCTGAGCTCCGCGATCGGTCTTCCCCTCGCCTCGCCTTGGGCCTTGACTTCCGGGCAGAAGCATCCATTCAACAACTGCTTTGTGTAGGCACTTTGACCTCGTGTTTGCACAAAGGCAAAGGGCAGCGTGCGGTTCAGCGCAATCGGTAACAGAACCTTGGCCACATTGCTTGAAAGCCCTCGCCGTGTGCGACTTCATTCCCACCTGACCGTGTCCACGCGGTTGGCAGAGTGATCAGCCAGACTGGCTGACAAGCCGGCTGACTCGCTCTGCAGCACCCTGCCGCTCATGGAGCCATTTCAACAAGCCCAGCTGTACACGGACAAAAACGCCGTAGTGCTGTAGCACTTGACTGCCGGCGCATGAGCCCTACACTGGTCGCATTCCTGAGCTCTGCGATCAGTCTTCCCCTTGCCTTGCCTTGGGCCTTGACTTCCGGGCAGAAGCATCCCTTCAACAGCTGCTTTGTGTAGACACTTTGACCTCGTGTTTGCGCAAAGGCAAAGGGCAGCATGCGGTTCAGCGCAATCGGTAACAGAACCTTGGCCACATCGCTTGAAAGCCCTCGCCGTGTGCGACCTCAACCACCTGACCGTGTCGTGGACAGACTATGGTTTTACCCCTTCAAAGTTGCCTGATGTTTCTGGCTGAACTCAGCTCAGCGTCTCTTTTGAAGGCCATTCAGGCCAGGTCTCATGGTGGTTGGCAGAGTCATCAGCCAGCCTGGCTGACAAGACGGCCGACTCGCTTTGCAGCACCCTGCCGCTCATGGAGCCATTTCAACAAGGCCAGCTGTCACAAATCCAATCAAGCTACAAGGACAAAAGCGCTTTAGAGCTGTAGCACTTGACTGCCGGTGCATGAACCCTACACTGGTCATAAATCAAGAAGCAGCGCTTTACATGTTCCTCCGACGTCACGCATTCCTGAGCTCTGCAATCAGCGTTCCCCTTGCCTCGCCTTAGGCCTTGGCTTCCGGGCAGAAGCATCAGTTCAACAGCTGCCTTGTGTAGACACTTTGAGGCAAATGAAGGCAGGCGGCGTGCGGTTCAGTACAATCGCTCTCAGAACCTTGGCCACATCGCTTGAAAGACCTTGCTGTGTGCTACTTCATTCCCACCTGACCGTCTCCACGCGGTTGGAAGAGTCATCAGCCAGCCTGCCTGACAAACCGGCTGACTCGCTCTGCAGCACCCTGCCGCTCATGGAGCCATTTCAACCAGGCCAGCTGTCACACTTCCAATCAAGTGCTGTGGCGCTTGACTGCCGGCGCATGAACCCTACACTGGTCATAAATCAAAGAAGCAGCCCTGTGCATGTTCCTCCGACGTCTCGCATTCCTGAGCTCTGCAATCGGTCTTCCCCTTGCCTCGCCTTGGGCCTTGACTTCCGGGCAGAAGCATTCATTCAACAGCTGCTACAGTGTCAGGTTGACACCAGGTCTTTCGAGCTGTAGCGCCTCTCAGGAAACCATAAGACATCATCACAACACGGCTCGGTTCAGATTTGAATTCCCCCAAGTTGGCAAGCAACCCGGGGCAGTGGCAGCGATGGCCAGGCAAGCCTCCCTTAAGAAGGACAGGGTTTAGGAGGGGCCCAGATCAGTGTCGTGTTTGCGACCTGGATACTGGCCTGTGCCATGCACCTCTGCATTGATGCCTGGCGTGCCTGGCATGTGGCGAGGCCGCAACCTTTGGCCTGGATCGCCTGTTGGAGGCCTTGAAAACGAATGACAGACATGGCAGCTGGGTGATCGACTGCGTCGCAGTTTCCAAGGCTCAGCTGAAGCTGAATCCCCGTGAGCCGCACGTGACCGCGCATGGCATGGCTCTCAGGCTCCAGGCTTCGGTTGCAGTGAGGACACGTAGTGCCACGCAGAGCGCGCAGCTTGGCACATTGCGCCAGCTACTTTCAGAAGCCGCAGCTTTTGCGTCCACGGGCTTGACCGCGCCTGGCTGCAGTCAGGTTCGCCCCAGGGCTTGCCTGCGCCGAGTGCACAGTGCGACTCCCGGCGCCCTCTCAGAGGAATACAGCTTGCTGCTTCAACGCGCATGGGCGAGCGGAGCCAGAATTCCTCAGAGCTTTGAGCGCGGAGAGGGCCTGTTGCCATGCAGAGTTCTGGCCAGAGCGAAGATGCGTGCGCTTTATTGCAAGCATCCCACCTGGCGCACGGTGATCAGTCGGCTGCTGCAGGCATGTACACCAAGCAGAATGGCTGATGAAAACCCGTGAAGTCACGCGAAATGAGCCACAGCCTGAGCCATTGGAAGCCACAGTAGCGCGCATGCACTTTGTATCGAGCATGTGGCAGCAGGACTTCCCAGTGCTGCACACCAGGCCCAAGAGTTCAGATCAGCTCCTCTTACATTAGTCGGGGCATAGCCCAAATTCCAAAGGAACAGTCGCGGTGGGCCGCTACTAGAAGTCGCGAGTGTTCTGCCGTAGCCGCGTTTGCCGACTTGCCGGGCATGTCTCAATTTCCTGAGCTGTTTGGGCAGCGGCGTGACTGTCATCAGAAAACAAATTCTCATACATACTGAGGCTGTGAGGCTGTGAGGCACACCCAAGAGTGGCCGCGCAAAGACGCGCGCCCCATCTCCCACGATGAGGACTTGTTCAAAGCTCATGCTTTGGCATGTTTTGGCCCCCTTTGGTCCACTTCTGTTGTCCAGACACCTTGGATACCGAGCAGCCGTCGCAGTGAGCTGACGATTTGCAGAGGTGGCTGAGGAACTGGGCGGAGAATCATTCAAGCTGAAGATTCATGCAGCTGCTTTTAGGAAGTGTTAGGCAGAAGTGGAGGATTCATGTCAGCATGATGCTCAAACAGTGTATCAGTGGGTTCCGCAATTAGTAGTAGCAAAAGGCAAACTCAATTGAGGTTTAAGGCTGGTAGCAAGCGATGGGACACGTGTGGATTCTTAGATTATCATTGAAGATTTGTTTGGACCTCGGCGTCCCAAACTCGTGGCCGCACTGCACTGACTCGGGTAGTTCAATCGCCCCACCCCGAAACTGTGTCAGGGCTCACTGAACCTCAGGAGGATGCCAGATGCAATTCTTGTTCAGCCAGATGGATGCTTTGGTTAGCAGCATGTTCATTTCCATGTTGGGAGAGACCACCTTGCAAGGTTTTGGCAAAGCGACATGCTATCGTCCCAGCTCAGGGGCGGCTGTTTGCAGATCCACCGTGAAAAGGGGTGGCGCAAGCAGATGTCGCGTGCTTGAATGATTGCCGACGTGTCGGCTCCGATGTGTTTTCTCTGACTGGTCCTTGGAACTTCTTTGCGGCGCTTTTTGGGAGAGTCAAGCAGGGCCGGCCAGGCGTCGTAGAAGACTATTGACCTCGATCGAGCGAAGCCACGAACGCAGTTGCCTTTTTTGCAAACCCACATGTTTTTCACAAATATTTTGAATCAGCAGTGGTGCCGTTGGCAGTGGACATCGCTGCATCCTTACTGGAGATGTGTGCGGTGCCTTCCGGGAGGCGATCGCATTGGGCTTGCTTGCCTGTGTAAGCCGGCCAAGTGAGCAGCGCAAAGTTCGGGAAGCTCCAGATGCGAAGAAACTTCAAGCTTTGGATGATTGGCGGTGCCGGTCACCTGCCAAAAGCTGCAAGGGTGTAGCAGTTACCAAAGTCGTTCGTTTGCGACTGGCACAATAAAGGACTTCAAGTCGGAGCTTGTGGTTAAAAGACGGTAAACCGCAAACCCGAGTCAACGAGACACCCTCAGAGGCGAACCTTAAGGCACGGGCTTTCTCTCCTCAGCTGCTGTCAGCACGTCGAAAGACACACGCCTCTTGAAGGTGTGACCGCAACAAACGGGGCTCTGCATCTCTATTTGTGTGTGATCGTTGCCAGGATCTGCTTGATAGACTAGAATCCTCAAGGATACTCCCAGGGAAGCTGTTTGTGCAGATCGCAGATGGGCAGCGGGTTTTTGCCCGCAAGCTGATTTAGTAGGGAGAGGGACATTATTCTTGCCAACACAGGCGCAACATTGCTTTCCTTCCGTACTTTCACGACCAAATTCACACTCAGTCAAGCAAATGCAAGCGTCAAATCAGCAATCCATTGTCGTCTCGAAGCAGCAAGGCCGTATCGGGCAAAACAGATTTTGAGGTTGGAACCGCCAGGTTCGTGGAAGCAAAGGATGATAAACATATGCTGCGGAAGTCCGCCGAAGAAACTTCTTGGCCCGCGGCAAGGATGCAGAAGGGTCCGCGGAAGCTTGAAGAATCTCCAATCAAGCTGGAGGGGACTAAAAGCCAACGCTCAGTTGAGCCTCATGGAAGACTTGGGTCGCGCGCCAGGCAGTCAAGTGCCTTGCGCCCATACATGCCATACCGGCTCTCCTTTCATTTGCCGAAATTTGGTCAGGCGGCATCCCGAGCAAAATCTAGTCAGCCAATTTGCCGCATTTCGAGTTCAAGTGGCGGACACTGCATGAGCTGAGCTGACAGTCCCATGGCAAGGTTGCTTCGACCAACCTTGAAATCTGATGTATGTGCTTGGTGCATGGCAAAGAGAATCTTCAGTGTGGGCCGGGGTATCCTGGCAGTTCTTAAGCGTGAGCTGAGAATGGACCCAATGGACCGAACGATGGCCTGCCGCTGTTGGCTCAAGGCATCTTCCGCCTTCCTTGGCCAGGCCTTGCAGACGTTCGAGGAGCGGTCGCTGATTGCAAGAGCCCGCCCAGCGCACGAGTCATTGGCCACCAGGGGTCCTGCTGTCCAGGCAAGCTGTCCTGCCGTCGCTGCAAAGGCCGCAGGTGTTTTTACGCTGGCCTGCGGAACGCGGAGAATGAGCCCCTCAGCCTGTGCTTTGGCAATTCTGAGTAAGGAGGGGGGTGCTTGGATTGCCGTAAACTCAGTGCGGTGCGGATTGGATCCATTCTGTGGAGGGTTCTGAGAGTGGCGCGGTTGGGCAAGGCAGCGACATGCCGAGCCCGTTGCATCGGCCACACCAGGTCTCCAGATCTGCATGAGACCCTTGTCCAAGACACACCGTAAACCCACACCTCAGCGTCCCTCCCTGACATCAGCCTGCAGTAGAGCGTGAGCTGTGTGTGTGTGTCTGTGCGTGCTTTGTGAATGTGTGCTAGTGTTCAAACGCAATTCTGCCTGCGCCAGTCAGCCCTCCATGATGCATTCTTGTCGGAGTTGCAGGAGCAATGGCACAGCGAAGCAGCCCTTGGCTCTTGCAGACGCACGGACCAGCAAATGCAAAGTAACTAAAGCTGCCAGGCTACCTCGGCAACAGCATGGCAAATCTCTGAAAAGAGTCAAGTGGCTTGATCGCTGATGAGAATTTGCGTTCGGGTGGCTTGGTCACGCCAATGCGGGCCATGGCAGTTTAGCTGAAGGGCCTTGTATGGCACAACCGACCGGCGAGGAGAAAGAGAGGCGTTTCTCTTGGTTTGACGTTCGCATGACCGGTTGCGGGGTTGACAGCAGGAACAGTATTGCATCACTTTGGTTTGCAGGTCGGTAGATTCTGAATACATGGAATCTTGGGATATGAGAATTGCTGCCGCTCTCTTTTCGCAATCTGTTGGCCCAGCTATCACGGAAACGAGCGGCGAGCTAAGTCCAAATCTCAAGCAAAGTCATCATCACTGAACCTCTATCGTGCCGGCCATGAAGAACTCCTGCGTGAAGAACAATCATCCAGCATCTTGATGCAAGATAGAATGCCAGAGGAATGAGACGGGTGTGGCTGAAAAGAGGGGCACCCCAAATTGAGTGGTTTCCTCAATCTCAAAGGGTATCCTCCAAAAAATCGAGATGTGCACTCGATCAGCCGAGGTGAGCATCTACACCCTCCCTGCTTGGTGCAGCCAGCTGGTGGCAAAGCTCGACAAAGGCACACCCTTACATGTCTGAACCATTCGCTTCGCACGGTGGGAAAGCTTTCGACTTGTTTGCCGATCACAATTTGCCGCATCAATCCACGGACTCGGTCATTGTGTGTGTGTCTGTGTGTGTGAGTGTTTTTTGTGTTTGTGTGTGTGTGTGTGTGTTTGTGTTTTGTGTGTGTGCTTGTGCTTGTGTGTGTGTGTGTGCGTGTGCGTGTGCGTGTGCGATGCACGTGCGCGTGTGCGATCCGCGTGCGCGATGCGCGATGCGCGTGCGCGTGCGCGATGCGCGTGCGCACGTACGCACCCTCGAAACCCCAAGTCCCAAAGCGGACAGACATGTCGGCCATGAAGAACTCCTGCATGAAGAACAATCATCCAGCATTTTGATGCAAGATAGAATGCCAGAGGAATGAGATGGGAACAGAGGGGCGCCCCAAATTGAGATGAGCATCTACACCCTCCCATGCTTGGAGCAGCCACTTGGTGGCAAAGCTCGGCAAAGGCATACCGTTACATGTGTGACCCATTCGCTATGCACGGTGGGAAAGCTTTCGACTAGTTTGCAGATCACAATTTGCCACAGCAATCCACGGAC